ATGCAGCAGCCCATGGGCATAATGAGATAAAGGGAAGCTAGCACAGGAGAGATAGACCTAGAGATTTCTCATATACTAAGAATCTTCCAGGAGGGGCTGAAAAATATAAAGTTCCCAGGTCTTTAAATGAGTATCACTTGTCCCAGAAATTAATGACACACTGCTTTGTTATCTTATTAAAAATGATTATGACCGTTAGTTCATGATAGTTTCCTGCATTTTGTATGTACATACTGAGCAGCAACTATTTGCTAGGCATTAATCTGAGCACTTGAGATACAATATTGAACAACAATAAGAAATATGGCAGTCCCTGCTCAGACCCTTAGAGAATATCTGGAACAGACAGACAACATAATAAGTTAGATACTATGTTTGAAGATGACAAGTCCTATAGGAAAAAATAAAAACAACAACAACAATGATGAAAGGGCGAATAAGGGAAATAGAAAATGTGGTATCTCTGGGAGGGTTACTTTGTGAATTAAACGGGTTAGTTAGGGTAGGCTTCCAAGAGAAGACATTAAAGCAAATTCTTGAATGAGGCGCAAGAATGAGCTTCCATGCAGAGGGAAGAGCGTTTCAGGTAGAAGGACAGCTAATATAAAGCTCTAAAGTGGGAGCACACGTCGGCAGGTCAAGGGGCAGCAAAGAGTTTAGGGCAGCCGGAGCAGACTGAATGAGGTGGTATGGAGTAAAACTATTATAAAAATATTTCTTTAAATACAAGTTAAGAAAATACTGTAGTGCTAAACATGGTATTAGGCATATAAGGTTTTCCTAAGTTTATTTCATTACATTAGAATAGGTACAAAATTTCAATTTGGATATCTTATTGAATTCAAACTACTAATTTTTTTTTGTCTTCCATGAGCTAATGATGCCTTTGATGTCCCATTAATCTAGACTTGGGGACAGTAAAGTATTCTTTTAAAAAGTGATGTTTTAAGTTGCAACCTCAGGGAAAACGCAGTTGGCTTGGTAAAGGTGGTGGGTGATGGCATTCCAGAAAGAGGAAACACCACATGCAAAGATCCAGAAAACTTGAAAACACCAGGGAACCATCTAAGGTTCTTCAAATAGGAGAAGGACATGATCAGATTTTCTAAAATCAGAAAGCTCATTCTGACTAATGTAGAGTAGAGAAAGCATCAGAGAGGGGCAGAGGAAGACAGAAGAGCAGTTCAGGGGCTAGTGTGGTAAATCAGGCCAGCAGGGAGGTAGCCAGCCTGACCAGAAGGATCCTAGTGAGGATGGAAAGAAATGGATGGCTCCTTAACGTATTTATTAGGTGGCGTGAAAAGAGAGTGAAAGAATAGGTGTGGAGGAAGAGGAGAAAAGGATAATAGCTCCTATGGTTCCAGGTCGAGCAGTAGATGGAATGGAGTCATTTGCTGCGACCAGAGAATGAGCAGGTCTAGGGGCAAGAACGAGAACTGGTAAGTTGCATTTTGTACTCAGTATATACTGTCTGTAAACACCTACATATTTCCTCTTGACAGCCAGCAAATAGTTGTCTGTATGGATTGGAGTCTCAGGAAAGACTAAACAGCAAAGAAACAGATATTTTATTGTCAAATCAATTTTTATTTTATATACTTTTTAAAGTAAGCTTTACGCCCAACCTGGGTCTTGAACTCTCATCACTGAGATCAGGGGTTGCATGCTCTACCAACTGAGCCAACCAAGCACCTCAAAGATAAATAAATAAAATGGTGCCTTGGCACATGTTAATTTGTATGCTTTGTAGACACAATACAGATTAAGCTATTTTTTTCTCCATAAAAAATAAAACTGTATCACAATGCTTAGACTACTTTAACTGCTCCTACGGTACCTAAGTACAGTGATTTTAAAATGTAAGGTATATTTTATGACATGGCAAGGATTTCATTATTTTTATCCAGGAATGTGAGATAATATTTAAGTAATAAATAGTGGCTTAATTTAAAACATCATTTTGCTTGTCTTTTAAAATAACTGCACTCATCTTTATTCTTTCTTTAAGGAAGGTCGTGGTTTTTTTGGTTTTACTTAACATTATTTTATCCAGGTATGAACAACTACATGTCAAAGATTGTTTCAAACGAAAACACAAACAGTAGGCAAACAAAGTCAACGATGAGTAGGAATATATTTATAGTGTCACTCCTTAGATCTGGATGTTCAAAAAGAGAGGCTTGAATTAACATAGATCTGCGTAAAGACGGATGAAATAAAAATGCTGCCTCAAATAGATAGCAGTCCTTATAAATCTGGCTACTTCTTCCAGCACTGTGATGCATATAGCATATTTGTATGAGTGCCAATTAATCAGCATTATTGTTATAATTTGATTAGCTCTTTACTGAGCTAGCAAATGTCCTAAGAGGGGCAATGTCTCCAAAGTTTAAAATCTCCTGCACTTGGAGAAGCAACTATAATTGTTTAAAAATCATGGATTTTGGACTCTGTGACCCAGTTTTCTTATTTGTCAAATGGAGATATCAGTATATAACATAAGGTGCTGAAATAAGAATGAAATGAAAGCCTTGCCAAAGAACCTAGCATAAGAATCTAAGACTAAATCTTAATAACTAGAAGAGAATCTTAGTGACTGAGAAGGACCTGGAAGTGATGAAGCCTACTCAATTTATTATTAAGGGATAGCAAATGGGGATCTGATGGAATATAATTAAAAGCAGAGTCTGAAGAAAATTAAAACTGCCTCAAACATTATACCCCACTGAAATGAAACGTCTGAGAAATAGGTATGCAAGATTGGGGCAAATGTTGGATAAAGGTGAAGATAAGACCTTCAGACTAGATGTTGTAGTTAGCTTGTCTCTGACCCATGGGGGTAGGTCTGTGGGGGAAGAATCAAATTTGATTGTCACCTTCAAGCAAACAAAGGGAGTATTAAAGGTCTCCTTTGCAGCTCTTGGGAATGCTGAAGTCGAGGTGAGGGATCTCTGAGTATTTGATCATGTTCATGTCAGGAACATGAGTGGCAAAGTCAGTCGGTGTAGGAGTCCTAGCAAAGGGTAGAGTCAGTCCACTTCAAAGAAAAGCCAGACAGTCTGCCTATTGAAATGGGTTTGCATTTGAATAGCATTGAGTACCATTTTAAAGTCATGAGCAAAAAATGTGCGTGCGTGTGTGTGTGTGTGTGTGTGTGTTTATGTGGATATATTTTACTAGTAGCTAAGGGCTTACCACAGAGGAGTTTTGGATTATTAATTTTCCTGTTATACCACAGTGTTGGTTTACTGAGACCCTAACTAAAACCCATATATTTTTGGCACTCACTTATGGATACAATGCAATGTCACTTACATAAAAAAGAGCTCTATTCTATTTATAGATCAAATTATGGTGGCGTCTTTTTCTTGTTTTCTGAAAATGAAAAAAAATTTATAAGGGAATCTGGCATATGATAAGGATGGAAATGAAAGATTTTCAAATATTTTAATACTATCTCCATAGGGAAAGAAGTTTGGATTGTTGCCTAATGACGCTACTTTCTTTTTTTTTTTTCTTTTTTTTGAAGCTACTTTCTACTAGAATCCTACAATGAAACATAGGAGAGGCCCCCAACTTGCCCTTGCTTCCTCTCACCGTTAAGGGTGAAAGGAGACGAGAACGTCTAACTTGCTTTGAAAACGGACATCAGAAATCTCTAAAATTCCTATTTCCACATTCAAATATGTTGCTGGATATTCTTGCCACTTCCTTTAATTTCACTACTCTTTTTAGTTTTACCTATCGGAACCACTTTCCTTTTACTGTCATTATTTCCCGGATGCCACGGCAAGGGATAACAAATGTTAACCTACACTAATTGTCCCTATGGCTCTAACACTTCCCAAGGTATTTCCAGCTCAGAGAAACAAACATTCACATTGTAGCTTTTTACATAAAAGGTAGAATAGGAATGATTGTCATTAACCTCTGTAGAACACAGCATGTCTCAGTTCCTTGTGCGTTCTTCCTGTGAGACTTGACTGGGTTTCCAGAAACCCACCAGGTCTTCTGATAATCCCCCGTGCTGACCAGACAAATAAAACTCTATTTTTCCCTACGGACTAAGATCATCTATCATGACAATGCATTTTTATGAATACAATTTAAGTTTATTAAGCATAACTGCTTTACTTCTGGATTCACAGGTATACTATCTTTTAGACAGAGGAAAATATAAAACTTCTCACAGGGAGATTAATTCTATTATTAGATGATCTCTTATTCCTGTTAATTGCATAACTATGAAGCCCATAATGACAGAAACTCCAGAAGATTTTGCAGGATGCTGATTCAAAGATTTAAGTAGTTAATGATGAAAGATAACTTTAATATAATATCAATATTCTTTCCAACTCCAGAGACAACATTTCTAAAATCACTTGGACATCCGGTAAAATTACAGTAAACTTTCCACTGACATTCTTGGATACATGGGAATATGTATTCTTTAGGGCTACAAAGCAAAGATCTTAATTGGAGTGTCTGGATAGAGTTGCGCTCATCTATGTGCTTGTTTTTTTGGTTTACTTATCTTTGCTTGCCCAATGAAATTGGCATTAGCAGAAGAATAAAAAGACCTACAAAGTCCCTAATACCGGGTGTCCCGAATATTTTTAAATGTAATTTTTGTTAAGTTGCCTGGATTCATAACACTCTGCTTGCACGTCTTGGACAGTTTTTGTTCTTATCTTGATGAGGACCATTCTAGGATGAAATTTTGTTACATAGTCATCCAAGCAAAACTAGACCTGTTTTTGCCAAATCATAGCGGGCAATAAAAAATTACAATAAGCTGCCTTTAGTACAGAAAACAGGGCTCTTGAAAATTTAAAAGGATCAACATCTCAACTTTTGGTTGAGGATCAGTGCAAGGAAACTCAAAAACAAAAAATTGTGAGGCACATATCCCTCATCAGTTCTTTTCTGCTTTAACACGGTAATAGCTGTTTTCGATATTTACTTCACCTTGGTCCCTCCTGCATTGTTTCCCGACTTACCTGCAGTTGGAGCGGGCCTAAGCCTGGTGTTGCTGCGGCAGCAGCTGCCATGGTCGTTGGGATCAGCTGAACAGGGTAAGGGTCACCTAAGTAAGAGAATAATAGAGGTGTCAGCACCTTTTATCTACTCTCCACCTGCAAATTAAACTCGCGCATTCACTCTTTCCAAAAGCCTTCTTTTGTGTGCCTTGCTGGGGCCTAATGAAAAGCTCTATTGTGCAGCCTTTTACTAACACTCTTTTCACAATTCTGGCTGAGAGAGGAATGTGAATAAAAGGCACAAGCAATTAAGGCGGAAACCTCATCCTTTTTTCATGATGTATTTAGGAAAATGGGAGGAAAAAGTGTGCATTGATCAGAGGGCTGCACTTTGTCACACACACACACACACACACACGCACACACGAGTCTTGGTAGGAGCACACCAACTCTCAGCCCATTTAAATTGTTATTATAAAAGGAACTTAACTAAACTTAATTCTATTTTAACAAACTAAAAATTTAAGCCAAATAGCTTATCTTTTGAATGCAATGTTATTGTCTCAATTCAAATATCCTCTTAAATAATGTCTTGTGGACAAATTCATAGCAAAGAAAACATTTTATGCATTTTTGTTTTATATAAAATACTGGAATCTTTATTATCCCAGAGATAAATGTTTATAAAAACATACTATAAAGAAAACAGAAAATAGATGGTTTCTCCCTGAAGGGTTTCTTTTTTTGGTGATATCTGAAAACATGAAATCTTAGTAATTCAAAATTAAAATTTTAATACATGTGATCTATAAAGATACAGAAACATATAGAGACACAAATATATATACATGTAGAAGATTACAGGGTATTTTTTTTTAAAGATCTTATTTATTTGAGGGAGAGAGAATGAGAGAGAGAGGATATGAGAAGGGAGAGAGTCAGAGGGAGCAGCAGACTCCCTGCGGAGCAAGGACCTCTATGCGGGACTCAATCCTGGGACTCCAGGATCATGACCTGAGCCAAAGGCAGACGCTTAATGGATTGAGCCACCCAAGCACCCTAAGGTATGTTTTGATGAAAATTTTTTTCCACGTAGTAAAGAAGTACATGCACTTTTTGCACAGAGCTCAATGATATGATAACAGATATGTACGTTACTATTTGAAATATGACTGTAGTAAAAAATTTAAAAAATTGTAATTATAAGAACAATCGTCTAATATATAAAACATATTGTTTTAGTAATCTAGCTTGTGAAAAACTTGTTCAATGTCAAATGTATAAAAATACAACTGAAAATAACTCAGTTGATACTTTCATTCAAAAATATTGGTTGAGTATCTGCTATGTTTCAAGTACTGCTCCCAATACTAGAAATAGAGTTCTAAAGAAGACTAATATGCAGAGGTGTATTTACTGGGTATTTAATGAAGCTTAAGATTTGGAGTTCCTGGAAAGGCCCCTTACTGTATTGTTTAAAGGATCATATGTTTTTATATTTTCAGCTTTTTTACTTTGTTGTGATTTCTTTTTTTTTTTTATTTTTTTATTTTTTTTTAAAGATTTTATTTATTTATTTGACAGAGAGATCACAAGCAGGCAGAGAGGCAGGCAGAGAGAAAGGAGGAAGCAGGCTCCCTGCTGAGCAGAGAGCCCGATGCGGGGCTCGATCCCAGGACTCTGAGATCATGACCTGAGCCGAAGGCAGCGGCTTAACCCACTGAGCCACCCAGGCGCCCCTGTTGTGATTTCTTTTTATAAATGAAAATTATTTTTCACTTGTATGTGTTTTTGAAAATTATACATATATAATTAAAATAATGATTATAAATAGATAATTACATATATTCTTTTTTTTTTTTTTAAGATTTTATTTATTTGTCAGAGAGAGCGGGAGAGAGAGCAAGCACAGGCAGACAGAATGGCAGGCAGAGGCAGAGGGAGAAGCAGGCTCCCCGATGAGCAAGGAGTCCGATGTGGGACTCGATCCCAGGACGCTGGGATCATGACCTGAGCCGAAGGCAGCTGCTTAACCAACTGAGCCACCCAGGCGTCCCATAATAATTACATATATTCTTAAAGAGGGCTCCCAAATGATATTTTTCAGGCTTCAAAATACCTGAATTCACCTCTGTAAGATCTGGCCTTCCCAGAAGTTACAGCTTAATGGGAGATTAAAAAAAAATAAATAAAGCTAATTCAAGGATTAGAAGAAAATACAATGACTATTAAGATAGGGAAGTATATAACACTAGGCACTACCCTGTGGGTGCCCTAAATCTAGACTAAGAGGTCAAAGGTAGCCTCCAGGAAGAAGTTATGTTTAAGCTGAAATCTGAATCAAGTGAAAGCTAGCCAAACAAAGAAGAAAAGGAAGAGCTTTCCTGGAAGGAAAACAATTTTCATGAAGACCCACAGTCAAAATGGAGTGTTCCTTCATAGCCCCCATATAACTGAAGTTTAGAGCACAGGTAAGGAAACAGAGGTAACTGGAACTGGAGAGGGAATCAGAGGTCAGATTATGTATTAGTGTTATAAACAATATTAAAGAATCTAAACTTCATTCTGTAGCATAAAAGAAACCAGGAACGTGGGGAAAAAAATGGGTTGAGTAAAACCACTTGGCCTAGAGGTTGGAAGCTGGAGCCAATAACAAAAAGATGCACAAGTGTTGGGATGCCTGAATGGCTCAGTTGGTTAAGCATCTGCCTTCAGCTCGAGTCATGATCCCAGGGTCCTGGGAATCGAGTCCCACATTGGGCTCCTTGTTCGGCGGGGAGCCTGCTCCTCCCTCTGCCTTGTGCTAGTGCCCTCTCGCTCAATCTCTCTGACAAATAAATAAATAATTTTTTAAAAAGATGCAAAACTCTGTACAACACATAATAATGGTCTGCACTAGGGTGGTGATATTGGGATGGGAAATGTTGAGGAGAGTCAAGGGATAAAAAGAAGCGAAACTGAAAAACTCTATGATTGTAAGAGAGGGCTCAAGGATGACTCTCAAGTTTTTCACAGAATAGCTTCTGAGTGGTACTGTTTGTTGGGTTTGCAAATGTAAATGAGAAGCAAGATGACAAGGTTGGGCCTGGTGGGGAAGGAGGAGGTGGGATGGTGTGGGAGGCGGTAAATACTTTTGTTTTGGACATCTTCAGTTTGAAATTATTATTAGATATCTGAGCAGAGATGTTGAGGCACTTGGTAAACATGTCAGGATTTTAGGGGAGAAATTCACATCAGAGACATAAATTTGAGACTGGTCAGCATATATCTGGAATTTAAAACTATAAACCCTCATGATACCATTTAGAAGTTAACTGTAGGTAAAATATAGGTCCAAGAATTGGATTGTGGAATATGCTAATATTTATGGTCAGGGAGATTTATAGTCAGGCAACTAGCAGAAAAATGGAGGAGAAATTAAATTTGACTTTCTAGAAGCCAAGTAAGGAAAGATTTTCAGAAAGAGTGATTTTTTTTCCAAAGTCTGGATTTAGTAATGTGGAAGTCATTGGTGACTTCAAAAAGGGCAATTTCAATAGAGTGGAGGGTGAGAAGGCCTAATTGGAGTGAGGGTGATCAACAGAGTATGCTTAAAAGAAAAAATTGAGGCAGGAAGTGTAGATCCTTGCCTTTAAAACTGAAGTTCTTGAAGAATAGTGTTAGTATCACCCAGAAGTTCCTTAGAAATGTAGGATTTCAGATCCAACTTCAAACCTCTTAAGGTAGGCACCCTCTAAGATGGAACCCCCAATGACTTCTACTTCTCTCCTTGTATTTATGTCCTTACGGAACCCTCTGCCCTTGAACAGAAGCTCAAGTGATGAGAGATTACTTTTGAGATTAACTGAACATGAAGACTGTGGCTTTGTCTTGTTTATCTTCTCTCTATTCCTATCATCTCTGTCTTGAACCAAACCACTGTGTTAAGATCTGCCCTATGGAGAGGCTCACATAGCAAAGGAATGATGTCTTCAGCCAATAGCAAGTAAAGAGATGGGGCCTGCCAACAACCAAAGGAGAAAGCTTGGAAGCAGATTCTCTCCCAAATCAAGCCTAGAGATGACTGTAGTCCAGGGCAATACCTTGATCCCAACTATGTGAAAGATCCCAACATGGCCATGTTCAAATAAATGTTGTTTTAAGCCACTACCTTTTGGGAGAATTTGTTAAAGCAGCAGCCATATATATATACATTCTGAAAGAGAATTTAAATTTTAACACGAGTCCCAGATGATTTTTACTTATTTGAGAAGTGCTGGAACAGACAATTCCACTGGGGTGTTTTGCAGTAGTTATTAAAGGACCTTCAATATCAAGAAAACCTTCCTTAAAAGGTATGTACTTGTAAAAATTATAGGATGTTTCTATGCCGGTGATAAAGATACAGCAAATGGAGGGGAAAAAAACTTGATGACATAGGAGAGAGAGCAGACAACTGACTGATGTTACAATGAATAAGGTTTTATTTGTCATTTAGCATTTTTAATATTTAATCTAGAAAACACTATCTGAATTTATAAAGTTTGGATGTATAAAAGCTGAATTTGTATTATATAAAGTAGCCAAAAATAACAAATATTAATGTATGTCTATTAGATAGGCAACTTAAATATGCTAAAACTATGTAATTTATTTATATTGCTCATTTAATCAATATAATCTTAAAATTAACTACAGCAAGAGTATAGAGGCTACGCTGTTCTTCACAGAGAAAATTCATTTATATAATTTAGTTTCCCTGTTGTGAATTAATCAATTAACCGGCACTTAAAACATCTACCATGTGACCAGAACTCTGCTAGGTTCTTTGGGAGACCAAACCAAACCAAACCAAACCAAACAAACAAACAAACAAAAAAACCCACCTTGGTCTCTAGCTACCACATGGTCATCTTTTCTAATTCGGTGCTGCTTATTTGAGTAGTAGTGACCATCCATGAGCTTTGTATGGGTGAAAAGAGAACTAATTCTAGGCCTCAGTCTTTAGAGAATAAAGGTGAAAATAAGAATGAACTTGGACTTGAAGATTTGCAGATGGAACAGGAACGGATGCTTTAGGTGGGGTGAACGGCATCGAAACCTGTGTATGACATGCAGAGGGAATGGA